GTGATCCTGTCTTGAAGTATTCCTCTTTCACTTTTGTCTCTCAGAAAAGGGACTTCAGAAAAGAAACCGACTCTGTCTTAACTTCAGTTAGAGTTTTGTTAGATGACCACGCACAGACAGAAGGCGACAGCAGTCTTCAGGTGAGACACATTCACATTTTGAACTTTACAGTCAGCATCAGCCTAGCTATAACGCTGTCAGTGTTGACCACAGAATAAGTGTCTGTGTACGTTTCTGGGTCTGAGTAATTCAAGTCTGCAGATGGCTATACTTTTTAAAATATGAGTCATAAAATTATATAAATTATTCTTCCTCCACCTGTTGCTCTCTTTTTTTCCATTTATCACAGCCTATCTGCTCTTTCTATCCTTCCCACCCACCATTTCTGGTCTCGAGAGCTCTCACTTATATAACTCTCCAACAGGCCCCATCCAAGCAGTGCTGTTTAGTCACTGTTTTACTGTGAGCACAACCCACTTCCCCCTCCTCTTCCACTCTTTCTGTATCTCTCTCGCTCACTCTCTCTCTGTGTTTCTCGTCCCCCCTCCTCCTGCATTGTTGCCACTCTGCAGTCATTAGCCACGTTCTGCCATAAAGCAGTAAACATGCCAAATGAGACAGAAATCATTAGTGTACCTGAGCTGTGCCAGTGTGTGTTTTGCTGGTTCTTCAGCGTGCTAGCTGTCACGGAAAGAGTTTGTGTCAGTTAGGTGTCACAACTTTTGGGGGCGTAAAAGACACCCAGCTATTAAATCTGCGGCCTTTTACTCGAGCGAGAGGCTCACCCCTCAGCCTCGTCTTCCTACAGACAGTGCAGGCCGAGCTGGACGCACGTAGGGCAGACTGGGTCCTCAGCCTGGACCAGCTGGCCCAGTACACTGACTCACTGGAGAAAGAGCTGATCAAAATGGCTGGAAACATGAGGAGGTCCCGCACTGAGATCCTCCACCTTTCTGTCAGGTGAGTACATCTTTGCTGTATGCGCTGCTTGTTCATGTGTAGCTGTGCATGCGAAAAAAGGTGGGCAGTCAGAACCGAGCGATCCGTTCAACACTAACGGCAGTTCTCGTTTTGAGTCTGGTGTGAGAGAGGAGGTGGATGAAAGATTAATGCCAGGAAAAATCGATGTAAGAGAGCAGAATTCCAGTGGATCTTGTGGTGGATAATCCAAGACGACCTGCTTTTAAGGTAGGGAAACATTTTTTTTTTTTTTGAGGCGGAGTTGTTTTGAGTAGCCGTGATCTCATTGGTTGGATTAAACACTTATAGGCAGAGCTAAAAGAAAAAAATCCTGCTAGTATTACTGGCACCACTGAAGATAATGAAGACTACAAGCTGGTTAAGCACAGCAGCGTAATCACTGATTTAAATGCAGTCTAGACATAATGAGTTCCCAAGGTTAGCTGATTAGACTAGCTGACCTTTCAAGTAGGCTTGTTAGGATGCTTACAAGACTTGAGGTTTTGTTTGCTTCATGGTGCTTTCCTGGTAACATGTCAATTTTAGCTAAGTTCTACTTTTGGGTCAGCTGAGCAGTGTTTCTAAAACCTTGATTAGTCTAGATAAATAATAGAGGTGGGAATCACCATACATCCCACGATACGAT